TGGCTTCTCTGCTGTCTCTATAATGTACTTAGCTTTGATTATTTCACTTCAAGTACATGGCTGGCAGATCTACTACAGCAAAAAGCTGCTGGATGCCTGGTTCACCAGCACACAAGATAAGAAGAAGAAATAAGAGACTGCTGGAGAATAATAGTTTGTCAGCTGCTTATATGTGTCTTTATTTTCTCTTCCCGAGGGCTCTTCGATCACATACATTTTTATGATTACCCGACTAAGTACTTTGAGCCTAAGAGGAGATCAGATGTGTAAAACCAGGATGTTCAGTGTCAAGCTTCTCATCCACTGGCTCTCAGCCCAGATCAAGATGTCACTGAAGTCCGTTTCTGCTTCGGTTTGAACTGCTGGCTTTGTAATCTCTCTCTGTTTCCAGCACAATTCCACATGCTGTTTAACAGATAACTCAAGTCATTATGGGATTCATCGGGATCTAGGCATATCTGGAAAATGTAACCTCAATGATGAGGAACCAGGCAGTGTGTGACGAACCACAGCAAAAGTCCATGTACTAATGTATGTCAGATATTCTGTTCTTTTCCACTAATCAGTTATCAATAAAATTATCAGAAAATGTTAACGAGTAATTTTTTTTTTGCCAGTTTTTGAATAGATCAACACATACATTTGTTTGAGGTTGTAATAATATGTAACAAATCTAAACAACAAAAATAATTTTTTAAGTAATAGTAATAAAATAAATGAATATGTTGTAATGTTGTCGAGCTGCTAGATGGCAGTTGAAATTCCACAGTTCTTTATAGATGGTAACTTTGTATTTGCTCTGGATTAGTTATCTGGTTTGGCTTTATATAAAGATGAAAAACACAAGTTCATAAGAATGAATATTACAGTGTTTTTAAGCTTGCAGTAATGCCCTTTCCTTTTTCTTCCTCTGAATGAAACAACCCAAAGGTATTTTTTTATAGAAATGCTCAGCAGATAATTAACTAAGGTTGGCGAGTTGTTTAAAGCGACAGTTCGCCTAAAAATTAAAATCTTGTCATAATTTACTCACCCTCAAGTTTTTCCAAACATATATGAGTTTCTTCTGTTGAAAACTAAAGAAGATATTTTGAAGATTGTTGGTAACCAAACAGTTGATGGTAGCCAGTGACTTCTATAGTATGGAAATAATAATAATAATAAATACTATGGAAGTCAATGGCTGTTGTTACCAGCAGCTGTTTGGTTACCAACATTCTTCAGAACATCATCTTTTGTGTTTAAAAGAAGAAAGAAATTCATAAAGGTTTGGAACAACATGAGAGTGAGTAGCTAAATGATGACAACATTTTCATTTTTGCGTGAACAGTCCCTTAAGAGTTGACCTCAGGTTTTACTGTACGTGTTTGCTTGACGTAACTCTTTATAAGAAACCATGATTTGTAGATGTTGTTAGTTATTTAAAAAAAAAAGCAAATATTAATTTGTGGTGGTGAACAGTGTACTCGTTCCAAGAAAATAGATACTAGAACTGTACTGCATACAGTAGGTTTAAATTGATGCATGAGGCTTTTGCTGTGCATGCCAGACTATTTCTTTAAGGTCTGGTCAGTACGTGGCCAATAAGGCAGCAGAGTCGATGTGGAGGTTTCTATAGGTAAGTGTATCCTCCTCCATGGATGCACAGGTTCCAAAGCTTTAATAGCTTACACAGATTAACGCGTTTAACCTTTGCACCTCATTCAGCTTTATTCCTTTCGGAAGTTCTCGTGCAACACGTTTCTGTCTTCATTTCAAAATACACTGTCAGGAATATTCTCACAGTACGTTTGCAATGTTAAACCATCATCACCATTTGATGTTGGCAGCTGGGTTCAGTGTATATCAGTGTTCACAGCTCTATCCACAAGCTACAACAGTTAATAAAAAAAGAGAGAGAAATAGTCTCTTCATTAGTAAACTTAAGTAGTTCAGACAGGATGCTGAGGAAAAACACTGACCTCCCAGCATGAAAATTCTCGTCTTGCTGTCTGAATGTTCAGCATGTGCATGACTGCATATTGTCTAATATATTTATATACTATAAAGGCAGGAGCGTTTCTTTATCATAATGGTTTTCTGCTTTTGGGGGTTCGTGCTTTTGGCCATTAGTTTGCGTTATCAGTGTTGAGATGTGCTGTTGATTTGCCTGTTGTTCAATGGCATATCTGAAATGACAGCAATTTGCATCTAATACAAGGCTCACTTTGAATAACAAAATGAAGTTGAGTAATTTATTTTTAAACGTGTGACACACGCCAATCTTTTACACAATGCAGTGTTTACTTGGCCGTGAAATCAGTTTGTTTTGCAATGGCACATTAGTAGAGTGCACGCACGCATAGACGTATTGTGATATTAATCGCGTGCGCGCCTGCTTTGAATCTCCAGAATATTCAACAAAGATTTGTTCTTAAGTAAAGAGATATTAGGTTGTGTATACAAATGTCAAATTATTCACATGATATCATTACCTATCTACGTACATTTGACAGATTGAGAAGCTTAAAATACAAAGGAAACAGCAGTATTTTCTTTATCATTTTTATTATTATTAAAGGGATGGAACACCCAAAATTTACTCTCATGCTATCCCCAGATGTACAGACTGACTTTCTTAGGATGAGGGTGTTTTTCTTCTAAATAAAGAAAGTCAATTATATCTGGAATGGCATGAGTTTGAGTAATTTTAATTTTGAGATGGACTATCAATTTAAAATAGCCTATATTTTCATAATTACGAATACACTTTTTTTCAGACTAGTTACTAAAGCCTAGATATGTCTGCCAAGTAGAAAAATGATACGACCTGCCCGATCCAACATGTTTCTTGTCATTTTTGGTTTTTGCAAAACATTGCACATTACAGTGTCCATAGCTCTTTTTTTTCTTAAAATGCAAATATATTATGTAAAACTCAACATATGAGATCCTCCTACATAAGTCATAAGCAGACATTTCCGAGAACCAGATCTGGATTATTAATGGGATGATGATGGATCGCTCCATGCTGCTGCTCATATTTCTTTCAGGTAAGGGATTATTGTAACATTAACAGATTAACTGTCAGAAAAATTGATTTTTTTTTTAAATTACATTTTTTTATTTTAGATGTAGGGCAGGTTTTATATATATATATATATGTGTGTGTGTGTGTGTGTGTGTGTGTGTGTGGTTTATGTCAATAGTGATATGATGATTGTTATAATAGATTTTGATACAATTTAAAAAAAAGTTATATTGTGTTTTAAAAATTAGATTTAACCAAAGAAACATGTTAGTGAACCCTGTTGTTTTGACTGAAATACTTTATTTATTATTATTATGATTTCAATTTATATTCATATATATATGTGACTAAGCTTTAGATATAAACATAATCTCACTACACTTTTACATTTTTTTTTGTGTGCAATTTTTAATTATAATTTTTTTTTTGGCTGCCAGATACTTCAGATTCCCCAGTTTAGGCTGATTTGCATGTGTCACAGGGATTTAAAGAATTATGTGCTGGAGTTTCACTTGCAAATGATGTCTAAGTGCAGAGTTGTCATCGGGTGGTCTGTCTTTATGGTATACCATACTTATTGGGCCAGGGAATAGGCAGCCCACCCATAAAATACTGTCTTGGCCCTGTTTTGGGTGCATAAATAAACTGCAAATAAACTCACTACGCTCTGTAGAAGAACCATTTTGGTTCCCCAAAGAACCTCCCAGTGAAAACTCTTAAAAGAACCAATTATATATTATAGTGTGCATTTAAAAAAATTTTTTTTAAAATAATTTTATAATCTACACTCTTAGAAATATTAGTTCTTTATTGGCAGCTTTGGTTCCATGCAATCTTTCCATTGCACAAAAATGTTCTTTAAAGTGAAAAAGATACTTTAGATTATTAAAATGTTCCTCACTGTATGAAAAAAAAAATGGTTCTTTTAAGAACTGCTCACTGAAAGGTTCTTTTGGGAACAAAAAAGGGTTAAAAAATGTTCTCTGAAGGGTTGCGGAACCCAAAATGGTTCTTCTATGGCAGTGGTTCTCAATTCCAGTCCTCGCGTACTACCGCTCTGCATATTTCGTATGTCTCTCTTAATTTAACACCTGATTCAGATAACCAGTTCGTTAGAAGAGAGCTCCATGAATGAACTGTGTTCCGACTGACATGAACATTCATTCACGGATTTGCACTACACCACTTCCTGCAGCGTCTTAACACACAGATGAAACTTACTAGAGAAGTGTGACATTATATACCTCTGTAAACAAATACAATTTAAATTCACATTCACATTAATGCCCTTTGAATGGGACATATACGCTCCCTTCGAACTGGAATCATGGCGGAATATCCTGTGATGTTCAATTCGTAGGGCACTAACGGTCGAATAGAACAAACGTCTAAAGTGATAAGAGAAACATACAAAATGTGCAAAGCAGTGGTACACGAGGACTGGAATTGAGAGCCACTGTTCTGTGGCATCACTGCGAAAACCCACTTTTGGAAGTGTAAATATCCTTTTTTCAGTTTAAAGAACCTTTTGTGCAATGGAAAGGTTTCATGGATCTTAAAAGTTCTTCATGGAACCATGAATGCCAATAAAGAACTTTTACTTTTAAGAGTGTAGCTCTCAATAGGACAACACTCTCATTATTTAAAGTGTTTAAAAACAATATATGAAATCATATTGTACCAAAATTATAGTGCTGATCTAAACTGAATTGTTTTCTTCTGTTTGAACAGCATTTGTAAATGAGAATGGACTGATTCTTGGGGAAACTACATCTGCTACTACTGTGCTGTTTACTAAGACTGACACCACTTTTCTAAAGACCACATCATCTGCTCCTATGACCACCAAACCAGAAACTACCACTCCTATTACCACTACTACCAATCCTACTACCACCCCTGTTATCACTACTACCACCCCTACTACCACCCCTGTTATCACTACTACCACCCCTACTACCACCCCTGTTATCACTACTACCACCCCTACTACCACCCCTGTTATCACTACTACCACCACATTAAGTGCTACGACCACCAGGTCACCCATAACTACCACTTCAACCACTTCGTCTACATCAACTACCATCCCTAACCCGCTTTTGACCACTACTCAACCTACAGGTATGCATTTCAGAAGAGTTGTCTTAAATTCTGGCCTGTAATATAAGTAAGACCATTTCAAGTTTTGGTCGAGGATGACTTATTAGTTTTGTTGCAGGTAATACCTGTCCAGAGGAAGCACTCAATGGTTTGACCTTCCCACTCACTGTGATCGGTCAGATTAGTTATTCAACACAGCTTTGCCCTCCAGGAACAGCCAGCGGTATGTAGTATTACAAAGTAAACAGTCATAAATACAAAAACATATATAAGCATTAGTGGAAAAAATTAAAATAAAATAATGATAAGGCCATCAGATCTCAGATCCTTTATCTTGACAAACTTAAAATAAAAAAAAAATTATAGTAATTTTAATTTAACTTAATTTGTGTCAGAAGTTGTTTAAGTCAGACATACATAACAAAATATGCTAAACTGCAGCTATTTTAGTTTGGGTTTGTTATTTTTTGGTTTGTGTTCTTGAAGCAAGCATGTTTAACTGTTCTTGTATGTCTTTTATTTCTTCTGTAGCTGGTTTTCCTAAGGCCTCAGCTCAGTGTTTGAATTTACCACTTTTCCACGCATTTGGAGGAGTTAAACTTCTGGACTGTGGCTTGTACCTGGAGGTGTTCAAAAGCAAAGTCAACGTCTGTATTTACATCTTTGAAATTTAATGGGGGACACTGGTTGACAATTTTAACAAATTCACATTCATTTTGAATGACAAAAGTTTATGCGAGTGTTATTTTAGTATCATTGGTGTTTATTAATGTTTTGAATGAGTTTTTATTCCATTTTATTTTTCACATTTAGCACTGTTAATTATTGTATTATATTATCCATTTTTAATGTTAAAATTGCAGCCCATTCTATACATTTCTTGTATAAAATTTAATTATTTATATATTAATATTTTAAGTTTGTGGTAGTTTAATGGTGTAATTAAGAGTTTGATTACTGTTGGCAAACACATTTCTTTCGACAAAAAAAAACAAAAAAACTGGTTGATATATTTGTAGTAGTCGTCAAATGTAAAAAAATATTAAATTAATTTTAATATTTTAAAATTAATAATTTTAAAATAATATTTTACAGTAAACTCAGGTTTACTGTAGTCATTATTTAGTCAATGGTTTGAACTCTTTAATTTTGAGTGCTTTTGATTAAACAAATATTGGCACAATGGTTTTGGTTGTTTTGTTTAGGGGACTCTGGAAGAGAATATGTACGTTGCCTCCAGTGTCCAGATACTCACGTCCAAACCTGAGCAGCTGACGTCCCAGAACATCACCTCAGCTGCTACGACTGTCAATAACCTGCTGTCCGCCAGCATGTTAAATGAGGTAAGAATGTACAAACAATACAATATGTTAATTTGTTTGTCTGGCAGTGTGACTAGATTAAAATCATTATGTAGAAATGTAATAATAGTGTAATAATAATGATATATCTTTTATACAGTCAGTTGCAGAGTCCATGGTGGCCACCATCAGTCAGCTCATGCACACTGATAAAGACCAATACTCTGAAGACACTTACGATGCCCTTGAGAAGTATTTACACTCCACACATACCTGTCCCACACAAACACAACACTGTACACTGTAAAACACAACAGTGTGTATACTGTA